ACCATCCTCAGTGGAGGAAAGATAGCCTCTTTAATAAATGGTGTTGGAAAAACTGGATGTCAACCTGCCACAGATTAAAATTAGACCCTTATCTTTCGCCATGCACTAAATTAAAATCCAAATGGATTAAAGATCTAAATATTAAAACAGAAACATTAAACTTGCTGGAAGGTAAGTTAGGCAGAACTCTGGAAGACATTGGTATAGGAAAAGACTTTATGAACAAATCCTCAATAGCACGGGAACTAGCAGAAAGAATCAACAACTGGGATCTCATATTACTAAAAAGCTTCTGTACTTCAAAAGAAACCATTAGCAGAACTAAGAGACAATCTACAATGTGGGAAAAAAATTTTACCAGCTGTACCTCAGACAAAGGACTATTATCAAGGATATATAAAGAACTCAAAACAATCAGTCCCCCCAAATATAAAGACCCGATTCAAAAATGGGCATCCGAAATGAACAGACATTTCTCATACAAAGAAGTAAAAGCAGCAAGAAGATATGCTCTTTTAAAAAATACTATGGAGCAGAAGTGTTTTCTTGTGAACTTCGTATATTCTCATTTGAAAGCAGTCGTATAGACTTTATTGAATTCCTTTATATTATGAAGTTGTCATATGGTAATGTAATAGAAGATTGCTAAATAACTTCTTAAAATCATAAAAATCTAGTAATATATAAAATTGCATCCATACATATGAAATAATATGCATATAAAAAGTCAAGACAATCAGTATTTCAAAACCAGTATCAAAAAATAAAGGGGAAAGTAATTTAAACAGTACAATTATAGTTAATGAAGAAATAACAGTTTGACTTGCTTCACACATATAGGAGAAATATTTTATTCTTAACTCAGTGATCAGCTAAAAAAGACTGTAGCTGTCACCCAAGTCATTTGTAAGGTGGTTAGTCAAAAGTGAAGTTGGACTGGTTCTGTCTGAATTGAAACAACTAAAATTTTGTTTAGTGCCTATCTCCCACAACTCACAGAAAATCATATCCGTAAGTAGTTTGATAATAAATTTTAATGTCCCTGCAATTCTAAATCTTTTATATTTGGTAATCTCAATTACAGTATATGTAATAGTGATTCATTATATTGATCTGTTAAATGTCTCTGCACTACTCCTTGAACAGTGTTAAATCATAGTTTGACATTATTCTTCCTTATTCCTGCAAGTTAAAGACTGTCTTAAACCTGGCAATTCAATTTCAGACAAGAATTTTGAACATTTAATTTTTTTCTTTTAAAAGCCTGATTTCCAGGTATAACTTTCATTAATAGTACTAATTAGACATTACATAGTGTTTATTATCATCCATGGGGTTATTTTCTTATTTTTACCTTCATTCCCTAACTTTATCTTCATATTAGCTAAATATCATGTTATCTTTCTCATTTATTCATTAAAATAATCCTTATATGCCCACCTGTTATAGATACTTGTGGAATTAGGGAGGATTTATAGTGATAATTATATTAGGTCGAGAATCTACAAACCACTTTCATCAACCCCTAGGAAAATTATCAGCAATTGTTAGATGCAACCCTCCGGAAGTTTTAAAGTTGATAAAATGCATGATTTGTAGCAGGAGGCATACAAAGAAAAATATTTTAGGATAAAGGAGTTTAGGAAAAAGTATTTCTTTCGGAGTTCTTAACTACTTGATTGAAAGGTTGACTAAATGATTAGAAAGTGAATCATCTCACTGTAGTACCACCAGTTCCTCTGTATTAAGAAATCCTCATTTGAAGATCTCATTACGTTAAATATTTGGATTTGGTTGAAGATAAAAGATCCTCTGAGATTATTTTTGATTTCTCAGCCTTCACCTTTTTCTTAATCATCTCCAAATTTCAAATATTATATATAATTCATCATTTACTTCATTTTGTCCAAGTGTACTACCTTTTCATAATTCAGAGAAAGAAAAGAAATAAATGAATGGATCAAATATAGCTTTTCTAGCTCTTTTCTTACTAACACTATGGCATCCCTATTTTACTCAACATTATTTTCTATACAGTTTGGAACATACTGGAAAATGGAGGTGTTCCCAAAATGCAGTTTATAGAAGTGGAGAAAGGGCAGGGAGTATTTTCAGCTGTTGGGGGGGAGGGTAATCCGTACTAACAGCTTCTTGGAGACAGTTGCATACGAATTGAACATTTAAGGTGAGACAGGTTTTTGGCAACAGAACCCTATAGGAAATGTATTCTGGAGGTAGAGAGGGACAATGTATGCAAAGCCATTTAAATAAAACCAGGATATTTTCTGATTAGAAAGTTGCACAGAGTTGAAAAAAATGGTTGAAAAGGTGGGTTATATCAAGTTGGGAATGCATCAAATGCACAGATTAGGAAATGTCACATGAACCACTATCTTAAAGAAGACGAAACAGAAAGACACCTGAATTAGCTCTCAGTTTGGAGAGCTCTGCAGAAGGCATGCCAAACTGATTGTGCATTCAGGAAAATAACACTAGAACAGCTTGTTGCTGCCTGGTGATCCATTCTTTACAAGATGCTGCCTAATAGCACCTTGTTCTTGGATAAGATCCAACTATCTAGAGGCAATGCCAACTTTGCTGAATCTTTAAATCCTTAGATTTAAGCCATCAGCAG